CCCTCAGCCTAACCCCTACCTCCTCTCTTTAGACAGCCCCTTCTCAGTATCTGAAATCAGAGCTGCAGTCTTTGGTCTTCACCCAGACAAAGCCCCAGGTCCTGATGGATTCTCCATCCTTTTCTACCAATCCTTTTGGGAAACTCTAAAACCAGACATCCTAGCTTTTTTCAGGCACCTCTACTCAGACTCCACTCATCTCCACCTCATCAACCGATCATTCATATCCCTCATTCCCAAAAACTTATCCCCTTCTCTAGCATCAAACTTCAGACCCATTAGTCTCCTCAATAGCCTCTTTAAAATTTTCACCAAAGTGTTGGCCAACAGACTTAGCCTTTTTCTCCCATCCTTAATCCACCCTACCCAATCTGCTTTTCAGCATGGTAAATCTACCATTGACTCCATCATTTTGGGTCATGAGGTAGTTAACCAGTGCTTTTCCAAAAAGTTAGAGGCCTGTATCATTAAGCTAGATTTTCACAAAGCTTTCGACTGTGTTAGCTGGGATTTCCTCATGTCCATCCTTCAAGCTAGAGGCTTTGGGCCCAAATGGTGTTCTTGGATCTCCTCCATCCCGATATCTTCTACCTCGTCTGTATTGGTTAATGGGTCTCCAACCAACCCCTTCTCCTGTCATAGGGGTCTCAAACAAGGATACCCCCTTTCACCTATGTTGTTCCTTCTCGTGGCTGACGTCCTGTGCATGATGCTTCATAATAGTTGTGATCACGGAGATCTCTCTGAACTCCATTTGAAGGGTATGCTCAATGACATCAAGTCCTTGTAGTTTGCAGATGACACAATTGTTTTCTGCAAGGCCAACCCCACAGACATTACCAATCTCAAATCTATCTTATATCTCTTCGAACTAACCTCTGGTCTATCTATCAACTTCTCCAAATCCAACATGTTCTATAGTGGTAAATCTGTTACCAAGGGTCCACTTCTAGCTAACATCCTCAATTGTGCCTTTGCATCACCTCCTTTTAAGTACCTTGGCCTTCCCATGAGAAGATGATCCCTCTCTAAGGCTGACTGGCAACCTCTGCTCGACAATCTCCATCGTAAGCTTTCCATATGGAAGAGTAAACAGCTTTCCATTGGGGGAAGACTGGTTCTTCTCAAATCTGTCCTCTCCTCCATCCCCCTTTACTTCATGTCCTTCTTCAAACTCCCTTGTTAGCTCATCAAGAAGATTGACAAAATCAGACGTGATTTCCTTTGGGGTGGTGCTAACGCTAACTCCAAATCCACCCACCCTGTCAGTTGGGACATAATTTGCTCTCCTAAAGCCAGTGGGGGCCTTGGGGTCTCCAACCTTCACTCATTCAACATCTCCCTCCTGTCTAAATGGCTTTGGAATTTCCTTGACAACAACAACCACGTAGGCAAAGTCCTCCAGTCCATCTATCACTCCAACCTGCACAACCCCTCTCACGGGTGTCAGAGCTCAAAATTCTGGAAAGATGTCACCTCCTGCTACCAATTTTTCTATGGATCAGTCAAATGGGCTCTAGGAAAAGGTTCTAGGATTCTCTTCTGGGAAGACAAATGGTTAGGAGTTAACTCCCTTGCTAGCTTATTCCCCAAGGCCTATCTCCTGGCCTTCTCCAAGTTCATTCCAGCGGAGTCCCAAGGGAGATCCGTGGGGGAGAGTTGGTCGTGGAAACCAATCCTCAGGCGACCAACATCTGATACCGACAGAAGCCAAGTCCAAGCTCTCATCCAACTCCTGCATGACTCTAAGCTTGCTCCTTCTTCATCTGCTAACAGACCATCGTGGCTACTTTCAGATTCCAAGTCTTTTACTGTTAGATCCATGTACAGATTCATCATGGATAGAGGTCAGCGTTACCCATATAATGCTGTTGTATGGAATAAGCTTATGCCTAGTAAAGTTCAGTTGTTTTCTTGGCTTAGTCTTTACAGATTGAAAACTAAAGATAGATTAGCAACTCATGGTTGGCTGACAGACACTAACTGCCCCTTCTGTGATGACCATGAGTCCCACGACCACCTTTTCCTCTCATGCAACTTCTCTAAGCAGATCTGGGTTCCATGGCTAGCCAAAATTGGTATTGTCTTTCTCCCCACAAGCATCCACCATTGTCTCTCTATCTGTTCAGACAAGTCCATTCAAGCAACCGCTAGACTTTTATGGGGCCTCAGTTTTCCTACGGTTTGTTGGATCATTTGGAAAGCTAGGAATGACTTCATCTTCTCTAATCAGTCTTCTACGCCGCGGCATATCATCAACAAGACGGTTCACTTTCTTCTTTTCTGGACAGGTGCCTCCTCTTCCAAGAAAGCTAGTAAGTTAAACAAGCTCATCTTCAGCTCGGGGCTCCCTGATATTGCGGAATCAAGTGCAGACAGCAATGGTCTTCCTAGTCCTCATGGATAGTGGCCTCTTTGTTAGCAGTTCTTTTCTTTTTTTTTTGTTTCTCAGTCCCAAATACCAGGGTTCTTGTTGTAGACTGGTTATACACTGTTTTTATTGTTCCTGCTAGATGTTTTGTTTTGTTCTCTTCACATAGACATCTTTGGGTGATTTGGTCTAATACCCTCCAACTCGAAGTCTCGGGCCAATTCACAATCAGATATCTTTTGTAACAACTCTCTTTATGAATTATATATACATGATAGGGCAGTATGCCCTATTTTCATTCAAAAAAAAGCACCGGAAAAACAAAATTTTAAACTGAAAAGATTAAATTATGTCAGTATTTTAATTATCATCATACACGCTATGAATTACTTTTATTTTTATGTTGTACTTAAAAATAGATCATAGTCATTTATTGACTGACAAGTGACAATGTTCTTGTTGAAAAAAAAAAAAATTCGATCGGTTACCTATCTGCAACGATCGGTTACCTATCTGCAAGGATTATGGATGAGAATGTCATATTTTGATCCGATCCAAAATGTGCATCTAATTAATCTAAGTTACATATATTAAGGAACTAGGTCCATGTGTTAGTTGAAATTTACTATTAAAAACAAGTAAATCGAATTATAAAATATTGCAAATTACAATATAAACTACAAATGGAAGTCTAAGGTGAGGGAGTGCGGGGCAAATGAATTAATAGAGCCCACGCGACTCGGTCCTTGCCAACGCCATTAAATCGCACGCGCCCGTGTGACCAAGATAAAAATGAAAATCATGGTCAATTACAAAGAAGCCCCCTAATCGACAACAAGTTTCTCACAAGGCCTCTACATCTATTAAATTTTGGAAGAGGAAAACAAAGGGGAAAAAAGAAAAGTATAATTTATTCTGGTCATAATATTGTGTTTTTGTGACAGATCGTAAATTTTCTCATCTTGGAAGAAGATGGTCTATTACAATTATTTACGAAAAGTCACATTTATTTTAAGATATAAATAAAACAACACAAAGTGAATGTAGAATTCAAATTTAATCCGTTGATGGCTAATATCAAACAGTCAAAATGAAAGAAGTGATTAAGGTGACGGAGGTCCTCTAACCCTCCAAATGTCTGATTCTGGAGTAGACTGTTCTTCCATGCACAAGTAGAAAATCATAAGAGGGTAGGGTTGGGTTCCCCGGTTGTCCCTCCGACGATCAAGTCAGTGATTTTGCTTGAGTGGAGAAGTAAAAATGAACTGCAGTAGTTCTTAAGCACAGCGGGCAAAGGTAAAGATCTTTACCTTATTATTGAAAATAATATCCCTATTTATAGTGGTGGTGTTAGGGTAGAATGGTAACTTCGATCAAGTATGGGATGAAGGCCACGTGATCAGTTGTCAGTACGCGAGAGGGGCTCGAGGTATTTTGTTGCCTTTCTACTCGTTCAGTGGTCGAGAAGCACCGGCTTTTGAGTCGTATTCGCAAGATGTCGGCCGATTTAGTCGGTCGAGTGGGGTGATTAAGCAGTTGTCTTAGCCAGGATCGACAAGTAACACCTTTTGAATTGTCCTCAAAAAACGTTGGCGTGTCGAGTCAACCAAATTATGCCTTTGGTTATATTGAAGTGTTGACTCGATTACGCATAATGTGAGACACATGTCTGCCATTAATTGGAGATTACTTTTCAACACTAGAATGACTATAACATAATCCTTTCACATAATTAAAATTTTAGCTTGAACTATCTGAAACTAAAAATTTTTAACAAGGGTTTTTTTCTTATAAACCCGAAGTTTTACTCCCAATTACTAAAAAACCCACCTAGTTCTATATATTCAATAAGCCTAGCATACAAAGTTTGTTTGCATCTAAACCCAAAATATTGGATACAAAGCGCATAGCTCATATAATAGGATATATAGCTACATGCTATAGGGTGTATAGCTGCATATTAGAGGGTATATGATCTACATATTATAGGGCATATAGGCTATAGCTACATACTTTAGATGTATATAACCTCTTTTTTTAACACGAGATAAACCTTGGTAAAGACCCGATGATCTCAGGCCTAAGCTCGAGTTCGATCATTGAACACGTATAAAAGGCTTTTTACGCAACTTACCACAGAAAACAAAACAAAACAAAAAAAAAAAAAAAAAATTCAAAACCCAAAATATGTACCGAGTACAAATCTTATCGACTACCCGGTCAGGATGACCACAGGACCAATCAACCCCAGTGGTAGGATAAAATCCGCCCCGCGCGAATCTCAAAGCATCCCCCCCTCACCGTCCGGGCACGTGTCCGCCACAGCTGGCCGTAATAACCTCACTAATCAACACGCCATCCGCAGTCCCCACCCAGCCACCTTCAACAAGCCACCCAGATCTGAGACCGCACCTCGCCCGACCTACCAGCAGCTGTTAGGGTTTCCCCCCACCCCCAGATCTTGCAAGACGCCCGACCGAATTCGGCACCCGCTCATGGACCGCGAGCTCTCTCCTCCTCGTCCGCGTCCGGCGCGACGGCGTCCTCAGGTAAGGTCGTCGTCTCCTTACTCGTACGTTGCGATCGTGATCACCCTCTCCTTCGCCCGTCATCTCTACAACCAAGTACATCCTCGACGTCCAAGATGTACAACTGGCCGTTCCATCTCGCTGACGATGGTCCACATGGCTTTCTGCTGCCTCCTCGCCTTCCTCATCCACCGCGTCCTCCGCCCTCCGCGACCTAGACAACCGGCTCCCGCGATGACGCGCGACCCTACGTCTCCCCGTCCGTCCCCATGGCGGCCCTCTACCGCTCTCCCTGGGTTTCCAACTCCGCCTACATCTACCTCTCCGTCTCCGCACCAAGATCTCAAGGCGACTGAGCCGTCGCCCGTCTACTCCCTCGGCGTCCTCCTTCAAGAAGGAGTCCTTCAGGTCCTCCCTCCATGCCAACAATGCTCTCCATTCCCTCGGCGTCGCCATCCAGCAGCCTACGGGGAGGCCAGGCTTCGACGCCTGGGCGCTCGCCTCTGCTGCCCCAGCTTCGCCGCCGTCGCCGTTCGGGAGGCCACGCGCCTCGTCCTCAATACCAGACCTGCTCACCACCCAAGGATGCTCGCTCAACCCAGTCTCCCATCACTACGTCGCCCCCTGCTGCTCGCCTTGCCCCTCCGCCCCGTGGATGGTCTCCGTCGAGCTGCCGTCCTCAGGCGCACCTCCTCCTTCCGCTTCGACCTCTTCGTCTTCGGCACCAACTCGCTCTGCGCCTTCGCGCTCAACCTCGCCGTGTTCCTCCTCGTGGGGAAGACCTCGGCCCTGACGATGAACGTGGCCGGGGTCGTGAAGGACTGGCTCCTGATCGCCTTCTCCTGGTCGGTGATCAGGGACACGGTGACCGCGGTGAACCTGCTCGGCTACGGGATTGCTTTCCTCGGGGTGGCGTACTACAACCACGTGAAGCTGCAGGCTTTGAAGGCCAAGGAGGCGCAGAAGAAGGCCACGGCTCGGGCACCCTGCTGGAGGAGAGGGACGGGGAGCACCACCCGAGGAAGAACGACTCGCAGGCGTAGGCCCCTGTTCGATCTCGGTACTGATTTCACTGTCACTCAATTTTTATACTGCTTAGTCTGCAGGTGTCGCTATTGTTTAGGCTGTTGCTGGTAGTTTGAGGGGGGAGAGGGACGCGGGAGAGGGGGAGGATGCGTCTTAGATTAGGTTGATTTGTTGGTGTATTGAGATTTCTGATATGGTTACCGGTACCTTTTGATTATTATTTTTCATGGTTTTATTCATCAAATCTGTTGAACTCCTGAGATCTGGGCTCGTGGTATTCCGCTGATTGTAGTGGTATTGCGCTCAATTTCTTTACTTGTTTTGATAGATCTATTGTTTTGATAGATCTAGGTTGATTGTCAATGATATCGATGAGGATCTGATGATATCAATGAGGATCTGGTAATCTATTGTTTTGATAGATGTGCATCTTCAATGTATGATCTGAATGGGGGATGTGATTGCTTGCTTATAATTAGCTTCCAGCTCTCGCTACGTAATACGCTAGAGATGCATGCGTCTACTGCAATGCACAATATTAAATCTGTAGTTGAATTTAACATTTGAGCTTATAACTCCCATGTACGCATCTTTGCAGTTTCCTGTGATAGAGTACTTGCGATTATTTGCTCGCCCCTTCTGGTTGAGTTTAACTTTAATCTGTGAGAGTTGGATATTGCTAGTTCTCTATGCAGCATGATTTCTGATGGTTGTTCTCAGCAATAACTTAGGCAGCAGCTGAAAATAAGCGGTATTTTTCGAGTGAGAGTAGACGGGGCTTCGTGATTTCCTATTTAGCTCAACTAATGGCATAGAATATGCTTTGTGTAAACTATGTATCACGCTCTTGAAATGTCCATCAGTTTGCGTAAAACATGAATCACACTCTTTAAATGTCCATCATGCAGGCTTGTTGTTTCTTGTGGTTTTTCACCCTTCAGGCACAGGACATGTGAGCATATATGTTGATTGCAATTTAGATACCCTAGAAAAAGAGTTACTGGGCATATGTTTTCTTTATGGAAGTTTTGTACATTCGTTCTATGGATATGGTAGGATGTTTGACGATTTAACTCTGGATCCTTGAAATATTAAGCTTATCTCTAGTTGAGGGTTTAAGAAGACCAATTCACAGGACTAATTGAGTTATTAATCATGGCTATTGCACAGTCTTTTCATGGTGGATGAAACCTGAATGGGCACAACCGTACACGTGTTTATATATGTATCATTACCCTCAAATTTGAACTGATGAGGACCATGATACTAATGTTTTCCCTAATGCTTATGTTTCTTTTCTTTTTTTTTTTTTTTTGGGGGTACATCACTGATGTAAAGGTTGTATAAGTTTAGAATAAAACTGAAATTGCTAATAAGCAGGTAAAATTGTAATACATTTTTCCGTACTAACAAGTCAAATAAAAAATGGGTCATTAAAACCCAGGAAACATAGGTGTGGAAAGTTACGGTTATTGTCTTAGTTTTAGTGTGTCAAGTGTGTGACATGTCAGCCTCCTAGCTGTCCAGCTTGGAAGGATTCTCATATAGACTTCTTCCAGCAACTATTGCGCGTGCAGTTAATGCTTAATTTGGTGATTTTTCTTTTGCACGGGTGCCTCCTTGCAAAAGTTAATAAATCCAACTGTGTTATAGATGTGGTTAAAAAATCCTGGTTCATAGTTATTTTGAGACATCAACAATTTCTGCAAAGAAAATTCGAAGGAACATTGGAATGTCAGAGAGATCTTGAAAGAAGCCATTCCAAAGGGATCAAATAAAATGCTGCAGAATTTGTGGCAAGGGATTGATTTAAGGAGCAGTGATATATACAGATTGCAAAGTAGCATTCAGTCTGGTAGATCAGAAAGTCATAAAACCTATTTAAGTTTAAGCTGAACTTAAATCGCTCGTTAATGTGGTCAAGTAAACCTATTTGTCGAAGCAGCTCTGAGGCTAGAGACAATGGCAGGAGATAGTGGGACACATCTAGTCAGTTGGTTTCTTAAGCATGTAATAGAAATGCTTCTCCTCTGATCTGGGATGGCTGCGTTTTCGGCCATTCAGACTGTTTCGAAGCACTTGATAGGAAATTTCAGTATAGGGTTCCATTCTGCTTCTAAGTTATGGTCTTGTTTGGAAAATTTAGTGTTCACCCCTATTTTCCCTTGTATTGTAGTTGGTCACTATCTTCAGTTATGTTTCTGTTTGTGTACAGATACGAGTATTGCTGACATGATATGACACATCAAGGCAACTTGGTTGGAAATATCAGTATAGGGTTCCATTCTGCTTCTAAGTTATGGTCTTGTTTGGAAAATTTGGTGTTCATCCCTATTTTCTCTTGTATTGTAGTTGGTCACTATCTTCAGTTATGTTTCTGTTCGTGTACAGATACGAGTATTGCTGACATGATATGACAAATCAAGGCAAATCATAGACTGTGATAAAAACTACATAAGAGAACAAGAAGTGTCGTGTTCTATGTAGTTGCAAAATAGGAGTGTCCGTGCTTCCTAGGTTTCACTATGATGATGATATTCTTGCTATGTAGTATGTGACATCCGAAAAATTTTGTCATATTTTGTTGGCTGCGGCAAGCTAATTTATCTTTTTTTCAAACTTCTAATAACTCGGCTCTGGATATATTTGCGGATTATGGGACTACTTAGGTAGCTTAATTGGAGATATTTTTATCTGGCAAATCTTGCGTGTATTCAGCTTAACATACCGTTATAGATAGCCTGTATGAATTATTTTCGTTAAGGATTTAATTTTATGGTTTGCCGCAGTATATGACCTTGAGTGGCATTTTGTTATGGATTCAAACTTTTTTACTTTCGAGGACCTCTTAATGTATGGTGTTGAAGAACTTATCAGACTGTATCTCTGGTGCATTTGCTTGTTTGAAACCTGAAAGTTATTTATGGACTAAATTTTAACGGCCAGTTGAGTGGTCTTTTTCCTCATCACCATCTTCATGATTTTCTTTGCTGAGTTGCATCCTGTGTACTGGAGACTGTATCTCTGGTGCATTTGTTTATTTTAAAACCTGAAAGTTATTTATGGACTAAATCTAACTGCCAGTTGAGTGTTCTTTTTCCTCGTCACCATCTTCATGATTTTCTTAGCTGAGTTGAGTCCTGTGTACTGACCGGTGGTCGCAGAGTTAAACTTGTTCGTAATCTCCTAGCACTCTGCTAGGTTTCGTTGTATAATTATCGATCTTTTGAATATATGTTTGTTTATGCTATGTGAAGTGCGTTTGCTTATGTTCTGTGGACGCAGCATCCATTATCATCTACGTTGCTTATGGAAATTCCATGAATCTGAGTTACATTGGTGCTTGTAATGAGTTCATCGTATATCATATCAAGTCGATATGCAGTTTGCATCATATATATCAAGTGTTGAAATGATGGCTGATGATTCTCAATTTACATGAATTAGTTGTTGCAGGTGCAGTCATATGTTTTATCATGTTATATTGAGCTGAAAATTGGACATTTATCGTATATTTTGTAGGTGATGTATTTTCATATCTGGAAGTATTTTTGGGCTGACGTACTTTGAGCTGTATCTCGTTGAATACTTTCCGAAATGGTTGGGGTCTTGATCACAAGAAGTTTCTTAATATTTTCAACAATAGTTTGATCCAGGTTGTTTATGTTGCAATATTCTTCAGTTTAGGCTTTTAAGATTCTTTCTTCCTGTAGTTTCTTTCATAGCTCTGCTTCCTCTCCTTCATATGGAGGTATAAACGATAGTATTGTTTCCTCGAAGTTTTAAGCTTAGAAAAGATGGCGACTTGTTCTCATGGACTCTTAATTTTTCCGACTTTTTTGTGTCATAGCGTTAAATCTGAAGTTCATTTTGGGGAATTGGGATTGGTACTATACTTCGATGTTGCATCTTAAGGAAAAATCTACATGAGCGTGACAATAGAATGAGCTTACTGTTCATGGTGAATTGGGATTGATACTGTACTATGGAATGCCGTTGTGTTCTCGCTCTCTCTCAAAAGATCTTAGGGGGTGTTAGTCGATTAAAACATTTTCATGCAAAATGAGATAATGGTCAAAGTGGAATAATTTTTCGCTAGTGAGATATTTTAGTGGGATAAATATGAACAATTTTGTGAAACAGAATATTTTGATAAAATAAAGTTAGATAAATTTTTATAATCATGAAATATATATATTTATGCATTTTGAAGATATAAATACTATTTATGTATTTTAAAGTTACTATTATTGGTCGATAATTGCTTACAAGAATGTTTTTTACTATTAAATAACTTTTAGTTAGGTTATAAGATATTGACAATTATTATTATAATGATGGTGATAACCATAATAGGAAAGAAGTAAAGAAACAAAAGAAATATAAAAATAACAAAATAAATATGAGTTCTAGTTTTTTACCATCTAGTTCCAAGTTAAAACTTGAAATAATTTGAGAGACTAGAACTCTCATTTTTTTATAGAAAAATAAAAAAAGTGGGATAATTTTGTACCATTATCCCAATTCTAGTTTTGTTAGTGTTCTACTTGACTAACACTGTAATTTTTTATTTTAGTTTTACTTCTATGTGACTAACACATTAAAAATTTATCCCACAAATTATCCAAGTTCTAATTTTAAGTTCTAGGTGACTAACCTCTCTTAGGCAAGTGAATTTTTTTTTTAAAAAAATTATATTTCAAAACACAAGTTATTAGAAGTTGCGGGGAACTGATATGACTATTTTTATTAGAAAAAACTACCATGAAAGATAGCAGTGCGTTGAGAGTTTCAAAATCCTAATAGAATGTTTTATTTAGTATAATGGTACAATACGTCGAGCGTTTGTAGTCCAACGGTTAGGATAATTGCCTTCCAAGCAATAGACCCGGGTTCGACTCCCGGCAAACGCAGTGTTTCAAAATTTTTTTCAGTAATTTCGTAAGTTTTCTTCGGTTGAATTTTTCTTAAATATTTTATTTCCAATTGAAGAATTTTTGCCAGTTTTTCTTTGGCTGTTTTAAGGTATGTGATGCCATCTACCAAAACTCCAATTAATGGAAGTCTTAATGGAGAGTTTTCGCAAGTTTTCATCGGTTGCTTTTTTCTTAAATATTATTTTATTTCCAATTGAAGTTTTTTTGCCGGTTTTTCTTTGGCTGTTCTAAGGTATGTATGCCATCTACCAAAACTCTATAAACGGAAGTCTTAATGGTGAGCAAAGTTGAGCTATGAGTTCTAACTTCTTACTCTTTCAAATTCTTGGTTATTGTTCCATCGTTTTCTCTAATTAATGGTTATTTTTATTTTAAATTTTTTTTTAAATAATATTTTCGCAAATTTTTCTTTGGCTGTTTTCAGATAGAAAAATTCTTTAAGGACCCAAAATATGGGACCAATAGAGGGGACAAGTGAGATGTCCCCCTCCTATTGGATAATGATTTGACCATCATTAATGATGACCAACTCATTATCCAATAGAAGGGGGACACCTCACTTGTCTCCTTTATTAGTCCCATATTTTGGGTCTCTGTAGCAAAGCTCTTTCAGATATGTGGTGCCATCTACCAAAACTCTAATTAACGGAAGTCTTAATGGTGGGCAAAGTGGAGTGATGAGTTCTAACTCTTTCGTATTCTTAATTCTTGTTTATTGTCCCATCCTTTTCGCTTAAAGGGGGAATCTTAATATTTATTATCTTTTCATAGGTCAGATAATTTATTATGTAGGTTTTCTTTTCTAAAGAGACTCGACGCTTCTCCGTTTCAACGCATCCATTCAAATTACCATTTTTATTTCATGTGGGATCCGAAAAGTTCAAGTTGATATTCTTTACTTGTTATAGAAGGATTATTTACTCGTGTTAGCCATTTTATGTTCCTGATAGTAAAGGTTACAAACAAATCCTAGTGACTAAATTTTGAATGGTGTTGACAATATATTTCCATAATTTCCATAGAAGTTGTATTTCTCATAGATAAAACTTTACAGACGACAATCCAAAAAGGTCATGATTTTAGCTTCACGATTCGTTCGAACGGTAGTCATTTTAGCTTCACATATTTATTTTATTTATTATCTAAATTTCTGGGACGATGAACATATATCGATCAAACCAAATCTTGATGTTTCAAGGAGTGGAAGGAGGTATAATAGGTCTTTCTCTTTTCTCCATTCAAAGTTTCATATGTTTAAATTACTTTTCCTTAAACAAGTGACTAGTTTTATCTCACTTATAGTTACACAGTAATTATGAAAATAATCAAACCACACATGTTAGCAAAACTCGATGAAAGAGAAAAAGATCTAACTCCAAAGTAAAAAGAAAAGTTTTTGTCATGTTATACCCAAGTTCTTTCATAGTTTTGTTAATTAACATCTCCAAATATATGAATTTGTTTTAAACAACACACAATATCTATCAAGTAGTAGCCATGCTAGATTTTAAATTACTCAATTTTATAATAGGTCCCTCACTTTTTCAATTGCTCAATTTTCATATTTCTAATTTACATCCCCAAACCTATTGAATTGTTAATAACAATTATATAGCTGACTAACTACACTCCAATCTAACGAGAGGGTGTTACTTGTAATAAGTACTATATTTGAGGTGTGATTAGAAATATGAAGATTTGGGAACCTGTACACAACTAAAGAAAAAAGTTTAGGGTGTATATGAAAACTTTAAAAGAAAATAGCAATCTTTTAAAGAAAACAGAAAGGTGTTTTACCATATTGATCCATTACATTATTAGTAATTTGATATTAGCCCCTCAAAACTTCATATTTTGATATTAGTCCCTCAAAACTCCATTTATGTTGATAATAGTCCCTAGAGTTAATTGGGGTTACAAAGGATAAGGTATATTCCATTATCTTTAACCTTAGCATTAAGTGACTATTACGACCCTCAACTAACCCAACCCATTGATACCCCCACCAACCCAAACCCGTTAGCTACTGTACATGAACCCAAATCCCATTCTCCTTTCTCTGTTTCCTCTCTCCCAACGGTACATATATTATATACACTTATCAATACGTTATATACAAAGTGACGTGCACACATAAACCAACGACCATACATATTAAAAGTATAAGCATTAATAAACCAAATAGCAAGGGCAAATTCTGAGCAAGTTATAGTGTCTTACGTGGCGTACACAAAATACCATGTATGCACATAAACATGGTGTTACAAAGTCCAAGCGCACAAAAATACCATATACAACATTAACATGGACTTGTATGCCCTCCAGTTCACAAATTTTCCATGCACAACATAATCATGAACTTAGATATCGACATTGCCATGTACACAATAAATATAGACTTACGTAGTAGTCTAACATAGAAATCAAACATTATTTGTAGGTTTTTCTTTCTGTACATGGTCCACAATGGACAAAATACCATGTATATACACCCGAAACACATTACCCAACCTCATAAAATATGACAATCTTCTTGTTTAATCACAAAATTATAATTCTTGTGGGTTGGCACCCATCCTAGTACTAGCTCACATTGCCAAATCCAGAGAAATCTCCTGAATCCTCGGTTAATTAGGTTGGCATGTTGCTGTGTGGGTTGTGATGAGCTTGTAGCCAAGGAGGAGGTTGCTAGTTGCGTTGGTTGATATGTGGTCCATGTAGCAACTAGTGGAGATGAGATTGGTGGTTGCGTTGATTGTGATGATTGACTTCCCCTCTTGTGACTTGCCTCTTACCCCTTCCACTCACAGCATTCAACTTTGACCTGCCTCCTCTTGATCCACCACCGCTAAAAGCAAATAATACGTATTAGCAGCCAACCCTAAACTACACACAAAGACTTAATTTTACATCATCTAGAGCCTCCTGCATGTATTTGTGCATATGGTGCAACCTGACCATCTCCATCCATGATAGTTGGTCATAAACGTAGCTACATGTTTATGATTAAATAATATATTAGCAATTGGTGTGGCACTCCTTGTAAGGGTTCATAAAATATGAAAACAATTAGGTAGGAGACAGCTATTACCTCGGTGTAGCAGCTCCTTCTGCATGTTCACTACTCCCACCTGTCTAATTGATAGGATTCTTGCACCTTGTCTTGTGATGGCCAAGTCCTCGACATTTACTACACTCGTGCACTCTCTTGCTAACTTTTATTGATGGTCTTCTTCTATCTTGATCATCTTCATCTTTTCCACTTAGCCTCTCCCTCTTGGTCTCTTTGTGTGTGGGGAGATTATTGTGAAATCCTTCACATACGGTTCCCACTAGTCTTTCGATGGCATAACATCTTCACTCTCTGCATAAGCAATTTTATACATACAATTAAGTTGAGACATTCAAGTATCAGACACTAAATAATAAAGTGATAAAGTAAATGAATTTTAAAATTTTAAAAACTATAATATTGCATACCTTTCGATGGTGGATAATTGGTCACAATATTGAGTCCAATCCGCTTTTCTAACAGAACAAATGTAACTTACAACATGTGTGCATGGCAACCTTGTGATCTGCCATTTCCTGCAGCTACATGTCATATCTACCAAGTTGATGACCCTCCTTTCATACTTATTCTCAACTCCAGCCTCATGTTCATTATTGTGTCTAATAGAATACCCCCTAGTCACTTGCTCATCTCTTGACAATATCTATCTGCATATGATACTAATTTTCCCTTCCATCTCATCCCTTGCTTCCTCCTCTTATTGAATTTTTTTTCATGATTTTGCATATCAGTTTGTCCACAAGTTCCACAACAGGGAGGAATCTAACATCTAGTATCCATGAATTAAAAGATTCTGACAAGTTATTCACTATATAATTATTTCTTGTATGATTAATGAACATAGCTCTGGACCAAATAAGTTTATGATTAGATATCAATTTAGTGTATGTTATATTAGACACTGCATTCAATACCCTCATATGCATGCTGAACTCTTCAATGCTGCATCCCATAGTGTTTTCTCAAAGAAATCTTTTGCACAGTCTTTTTTAAAATTCTTCCATAGATGCCTTACACATACTCTCTGCTCTATATTAAGAAATACAATTGAAGCTGCATCTAAAAGTCCCATATGTTGATCACTCCTGATAGTTGAGAGCCCTAGGGATACTTGGAATGCAACACTTAAATTTTGTAGAAACTAGTGCCAACTCTCCCCACTCTCACCCTCATATATAGAAAAGACCACATGGAACAAACCATAATTACCATCTAAAGCAGTGGCTTTCAGGAGTGTATCAAGGTATTTAGATTTTAGGTGACACTCAACAAGGCCTATGAATAGCCTACAACCATCTCTAAAGCCCTGTATACATGCATTGAAAGACAAACATTTTCTTAATGGTGTGTTTGGGAGTTTTTGTTAGGAGGGTAGAGAGGGGGAGGGGAAGAGAAATGCAATATTAACCTTGTTTGGGAACATTTATTATGAGGATAGAGAGGAGGAAGGAAGGTGAACGGAAGGGAAAATGGAGTGGTTTTCTTTTACCCCCGATTTGGGCGGTAGAGGAGGGTAAAGGGGAACGTTGAATCTTGGAATTACCATCTTACCCTCCATCAAAATAAATAAAAGGGTTGTGATCTTTGTTGTGAACCCTATTCTGCAGCCGCCTTCTCTCTGCGCTCTCTCTCCCGCGCGCGCTCTCTCTCTTGGACGTTTCTCTCCCCACGAGCTCTCTCCCCGCGCGAGCTCTCTCTCCTAGCGGTCTCACTCCCTACGCGGTCCCCCATCATCCAGCGCCATCCCCCCCCACCTTCATTCAGCCTCGTTGACGTTGATCCTTCAGGTTTGATTTTTATCTCTAATTCTCTTCGATTACACACAATTTTGCTTCTGAAAATTTCACTTGTTCTGTGGATTTTGTAAGATCTAAATTGAGTTTGTCGTAATTATTCTATTTCATCTTCTATGTTGTAAAATCATCTTGTTGATGAGACAATCACTTGAAATTTACCCAAATGTTTATGACTAATTATGGAGAATGTGTAGTGCGAAATATGCTTGAGTGAAGTTTTAGATGCAATTTAGAACTAGCAGTTTTGTCTTTCAGTTACATAGTTATATGTGTGATCACGTCAAATTGTCATTATCCAAAGAAGAAATGATTTTATGTGATAATTTTCATCAACCTTAAATCATAGTGACAACCAATTTGCAGTATATGATAATGTTTATTAGAACAAGGGAGGTTGTTAGTGATGAGTTTGACATGACATGTACATCCAAGTATCTTCCCATATGTTGGCTGTAGCTTATACATGATGTCCACATGCGATAAAAATCTGTAGTTTTGTTTACACTATCAGACTAAATAAAGTTTCATGTTTGTGATTATGTGTTAATCCAATAGATCAATGAGGAAGCTATTACAGTGATCAAGTTGGGGGGATTCTAATAAATTAACCTAGATTTTGTTAAATCCCAATAGTTTATTGTACTTTTACTTGTAATTTTATTTGTAATTACCATCTTATATTGTAATAAGAGCTTCTAAATTTATCATTAGTTTGTGTATAATTAAGGATTCTTAATTTTCTATACTAATTGTGTTATTTTCATATCCTCACATAGATAATGGATGAAGCATGGGTCAAATTTCAACATGCATGCCATTGTGCAATTGGATATGTTCTTTGTGTGACTGCTTATTGGTTCATACAACAAAGAGAAAAGAGAAGGAGATTAAATAGTGAACCCCAAGAACCTAGAGAAGTAACTAATATGGTGCGAAAAACATTATCATAAAGGGTTGTATATAGGAAAATGATCTGAATGAATCCACAGGCTTTTCATCAATTATGTGGAATATTAGAGAGAGATGACGGGCTTAAACGAACTCAAAGAGTTACTATTGAGAAACAAGTTGTAAAATTTTTGCATATGTTGGGACACAATGTAACTACTCGTGAGGTTAATAAGATATTTGGACGATCTGGAGAGAGTGTGAGTCGTCATTTTCATAATGTTTTAAGAGCTATGATAGAGTTGGAAGAGATATTTTTAGTGCAACCCAATGGAGCACAAATTCCTCCAGAGATACGCAATAATCCAAAGTTTGATCCATATTTCAAGGTGATGATAAATTTCACAAATTCTTATCTTTGTATAGGTTGTTAAAATTAGAATCTAACTAATTACTCCCTATATTGTCAGGATTGTGTTGGAGCAATAGATGAAACACACATCCGAGTAAAGCTTTCTCCTACTAACGCTCCTAAATATCGTGGTAGGAAAGATCATCCGACACATAATATGTTGGCTGCTTGCACATTTGACTTGAAATTCACTTATGTCTTACCTGGGTGGGAAGGTATTGCATCTGATTCCAGAATTTGTACTGCATCTGATTCTAGATTTTTTAAAAAATGCTTTACAACGACGATTTTCACTTAAAATCCCTCAAGGTAATCATTAATCCTGAATAATCTACTAATGACAATGAAACCCTTTTTATAAGTTATTAATCACAATGAATTTTTTTTAGGAAAATATTATGGTGAATACATGTTAAGAAGTGGAATAATTCCACCCTATAGAGGGGAACGCTACCATTTGAATGAGCATTCAAGAAATCCGTCAAGGACTCAACGTGAGCTGTTTAACCTAAGACACTCATCGCTTCGCAATGCCATTGAAAGAGCATTTGGCATGTTAAAAAAAGATTTCCCATTATAGTGAGCTCAACTGAACTGAATTATGGTGTTAAAGTACAAAATCAAATCATCCTAGCTTGTTGTATTTCGCATAATTTTTTAAGGGGTATCGACCCAGAAGATGATTTCCCTGAAGGGGAAGAAGGTGATAATGAAAACCCATTGGTCAAAGATGATGTGGACGAGGATGAAGATGAACAAAGAGAGGAGTGTTTAAGATATTCTATTGCAGCTTCTATGTGGCAAGATTATAATGCATGATTGTTGGTTTAATGTTTAATATTTGTGTTGTGTTTGATGATTGTAAGACTTATGTTTTCTATTTCTATTGTACTTGATGATTGTAAGACTTATGTTTTCTATTTCTATTGTACTTGATGATTGTAAGACTTATGTTTTCTATTTCTATTGTACTTGATGATTGTAAGACTTATGTTTTCTATAATGTTTTCTATTTCTATTGTACTTGATGATTGTAAGACTTATGTTTTCTATTTCTATTGTACTTGATGACTAGACTTATTTATTTTTCATAAAAATAGTATAATCACCATTCAGATTCCTTCATATACTTGTAAATAATTTTCTTGTGTAAAATAGGAATGTAATTGTATATTTCCTAACATTATTGTGTAAATTAGGAATGTCAAAAAGAAGGTATACGGATGGTGATTCTTCTAGGGGAAGAAATCACATCTCTTTGGTGTGAAATTCTGCTATGGATGAGAAGTTAATTGAAGCACTTTTGCATCAAGATGTGATTGGAAATCGGAATAATTCTATCTTTTCACCAACAGCTTCCAAGCAAATAGTGGTTGAACTCCAAGAAATGTTTCCTAATAAGCCAATTGATATGGATAAAGTGAAAAATCGTTTGAAGTATATGAAGTCAAAATGGCAACTTGCTATGACTTGTTTAAGAATGCGGGCAACGACTTTACTTGGAATCGCAACACTAACATGTGGAGTGTGGAACCTGAAGTGTGAGATCGACTAATTCAGGTAATGAAAAATAACTATACACAATCATTGTAATTGGCTATTCATTTTCTATGGAAGTACATTGTTTTCTACTTGAGCTTAAGTGGCTCTGCAAATTGGTTGGTAGAATGTTGAAAACACTTTTTTATGCCTTGGGAATTAAGTGGGTGGTTCAGGCAGCTCTGATGCTATCGTTACTGAAAATAATTTTAAATACTTTGTTGCTCTTTATGGACTAGCAGCCAAAGTAGTTTCTTGATTGAAATCAACCAAATTAGCAAAATAATGTGATCTGGTGCTGAGTCTATTAGTGCATACTTCTCCTAGGTTTAGTTTAATTCCCTTATTATGTATGATGATTAGAAAAATAATTTATCTATTAAGAAATTCTTTAGCAATAGTCCTATCCATTTCCTTACTGTGTAATATTCTCACCTCTATTCGTACTATCAATTAATATCAATGGGATCTTTATGTAAGACAATTTTATTGTATGTTTTTCTATTACACGAATATCAGTGTTTTTTCAATGTAATTTGCAGCTCATCCAGAAGTTGCTGAATAGAGGACCAAGCCTATTCAAAATTATGATAAACTACTTACGCTTTTTACAGCTGATAGAGCAACAAGAGAGCATGCCGAAACTGCGGCTGAGATACAAGAAAGAATGCGGACTTGTACTGATACTAACGAGGTTGATGTTGATCTTACAAGTGATGGCAATGATGAAATGGTTTCCAGGGAAAAAAATCATCTTGAAGAGTATTGATGGTAACCAATAAGCAATTGACAAAGAAGACTTTTGTGGGGCTACAATGGAGACTAGGTCAACAGCAAATTCACTGAAGAAGAACAGAAAGTCAAAGAAGGATGCTGGTGCTGAAAAAATTTATAATGGCATAGAAAAAATGACTGAAGCAATGCTTGCAATTGCTGAGATATTCAACAAGGCTCGGGAAAGGACTATAATTAAAGCAGATGATATTTGGAGTCTTTTGGTTGAGATTGGGATCGACGACGAACACATTAATGATGCATATATATTCTTACTTAATTCTCCAGAGAATCTAAGGGGAGTACTTGGATGTCCAAGGGATAGGCAGAAGCAAATACTAGTGAGGATGATGCATAGGGCATCTATGCCACCCTCGCCTTATTATTAGCTTCCTACCTACTCATCTTTAATATTTTGGTTTTCCACTTTTGATAGATGCTTTTGGGTATTTGATGGCAATTATGACTTCTTATCACTTTTTTGTTATTATATGGCAATTACGAACTTGTTGCCGAATTATGGATGCTTATGGCAAACTTGGAATATTAGATGGCTATTGTAACTTCTTGTCACTTTTTGGTTATTGTATGACGATTACAAACTTGTTGCCGATTTATGGATGCCTATGGCAAACTTGGAACATTGGTCAATGACTTTTGTTAAATGCATGTGGCAAAATTGGTTGGAGAATTGTTGTTTATGTTTTGATAAGATACATCGTGTGTTTTGTCGTGTGTTTTGTCAATTTGAGTTGTGTGTAAAGATTTGATAAGATTATGTGTTATTAGTATAAGGTTATTTGTGTAAATTTATATATATTTCCTTCCCTTCCCTTCCCTCCATTATTACTCCCAAACAAGTTATATTAATTTCACCTTCATCCACCTTACTCAACTCCCAAACAACATATTACAATTCCCTTTCCTTCTCTTCCCTTCCCCTCCCCTTGTTTATCTTTCCTTCCCTTCCCTTGTGAACTCCCAAACACACTCTAAAAGAATTGTCATGTTCAAGCATCACATCAATATGACTTCTACGATTTTTCCTTAATAGCTCATGTTTTAAAGTTGGTACCAAGTCATATGTGGCTTTTACATTTCCGAAGAGAATTTCTCTAACCTTTTCCCTACCCTTCCAAGCTCTATTATAATTTACAGTCAACACATATTTCTCAAGAATTTCCTGCACAATATCATTTGGTTTGATATTAGGGTTTAACTCAATATCTTTTAGTATCTTGTATGCAATCCAATAACATGTAGCATGCTCATTACCAAAACTGTTAACACCACCACAACTATGTGGGCCTTTAGGCCCTGTTACCTTCATTTTACCATCACATAATTTTTTGCATCTTAATTTTCATTCACACTCCTCCCTTTTGCATTTAGCTACTAGACTGACATGATCATTTTTGACATATAAATAATTAAAATTCTTTTTAATGTTTTGTTGTTGCAATGGTACTTTCAAGTGTTTCATGTCATTAAATTTCAGCCCTTTGAAGAATTCAGGATCTTCTAAATCTACATTGTAAATAGCTCCCTCCATAGATCCTACAATATCTAACGCATCCTCATTTCCCCCTTCATCTTCAGAACTATGAACTGAATGATACTTATCTTCACTAACACAATCATCAACATCATCTCCACAATCTTCACGCTCATTGTGTTGATCATTTCTAACTTCTGCACTTGTACCTCCATGTTCAATGGGTTCATCTCCTATGTTAGTGTTAGTGTTCAAATTATAATCATCACCATCTACCACACCATCATCAAAACCCAGTTAAAACCTATATCACCATAATCCCTATCCAAATCATCCTCTGTTGTTCCCATATTCGCAAACCTATCATCATTGAACCTCGGATTTACTTCCTCATCACTTGACAGTTGATCTATATCTATGTGAATTATCTTCTTTAATTTAGATGCACCATATCTGGCTGGATTTCTTCTCCTTAAGACACTGGTGTCAACAATGCTTGGAACACTCTCGAGTGTTAAGAACATTTCAAACTTCTTTATCTTCTTTAGGTGATTTTTTTACAACACCCATGAAAATCCCATTAGTCTTTGATTCTAGCAAACACCCTAGGATTTATTTCAATAAAGTTTTACTAGCTTCTATCCTTGATATCTTCTGGTTTTCACACTCATACTTTCTGCTAACAGTTCTAGGTATATTCCTCCAATAACCATTATACCTAAGAACTATTTCAACAAAACCCATCTCCATCAATATCCAACAAAATAAACATAAATGTAACATATAAAGCCCACATTAAAAAACTCAAATTGACAGAAATCAGATAACATATAAAACCCACATTCAAAATATTAAATTTACAGAATTGTAACTAATTAAACCTAACATTGAACAACATAAAGCTACATGCAATAAACAAAACCAACATTCAGTAAGGAAATATGACAACATAACTAATTAAACCCTAATTGAACAAGGACATCATCACACGAAAATATGACAACAAAACTAATAAAACTAATTAATTTAAATAGCACCCAAGACCATAAAATACATTAAACCATAATCGATCGCTAGCCAAAATTAGGGCTAAATTGCTCACTGCCCTAAATTAGGGATAAACCATAAAAAAAAAAACCAAAATAGAACTTACTTCTACCAAACCACTACAAAAACCGTAGTTTTAATCCCAAAAAACTTACTCTAGCCATGAAACATGTGATAAATTGGGGGCAAGAATTGAGTGACCGTGGGGCTAAAAATCAACAAAGGGCGAAAAAAACCCCCCCTTTCACCAGAATCGAGCGGGAATCGAAATGAGGGAAATAAGGGGTATTTTAGTAAATATCCAACCATGATTAGTGTTAACCAACCCATGGTTGAACGTTTTTAACATTGACCCCCAACAGAAGGACTGTTATCAACACCAAATGAAGTATTGAGGGGCTAATATCATACTTCTGGGACCAATAGAGGGGACAAGTGATGTCTCACTCCTATTGGATAATGAGTTGGTCATCATTAATGATGGTCAACTTATTATCAATTAGGAGGGAGATACCTCACTTGTCTTCTCTATTGGTCTCATATTTTGGGTCCTTATAGCAAATCTCTTTTTTTAAACGTGCTTGTTTCGTTATCATTTATTTCGAACCATGACATGGGGGCTTTGCAAAGGTTAAAAGCATTGGCTTTGCAATCGTGGCCGCGGTGGAAAAAAACGGAATGAGCAGCTACTCGTACGTAGGGGTGGGCAAAAACCGAAACAAACCGGTTCAGCCGAAAAAAACCGCCCGAAAAAACGGATCGGTTAACCGAACCGAATTAAATGGATGAGAAGAAGTCTCTAAACCTCCGAACCGAATTAAACCGGTCTGGATCCGGTTTGAACCCCTGAACCGCCCAAAAAAAACCGAACCGACTTCTTAAACAAAAAGTAGCTGCGAGCATTGGGTGTGAAGAAAATTTATGGCTGAATGTTTAGCATTTAAGAATTATGGGGTGGAGTTTATACTAACATATATTTGAGTACGCTGATATAGTTAAGTGAGATTTCCGTAAATCAATACAAGATGTTGAGGTTGAAGGATAAATTTAGTGTTTTGGTCAAATTTCAGTGATAACATGAATACAGCTTGCTGGTGCTGGATATCAAATTAACCTATAGTATAGGCTGTCAAGGATATAAGATAATTCTTGATGAGAAAAAGGCAGCTAAAAATTAACGAAAATCATCAAAAGGTGTGTGTGCCTGCCAAACATTGTTCTTTCTCTAAAAAAGGCTACATAATTACATGGTCCTCCTAGTGTATTAAGCTAGTTATATTCAGATCATACAATTTGATTAAGTGGCTTAGTACAGTTTTGATTGTTTCTTTTCAGTTTTGATTGCTTCTTTTCAGTTTTGGATATAACTAAAACTTACCCAGATTTTTGTGAAATGTAGTTAATTCGGTTCAAAACCGAAACCGAACCGAATTTCGATTGGGCCGAATATTCGGATGAAGGGGAAAAAATCTGGATCTGGATGAGAGTTAACCGAACCGAATTTCGATTGGGCCGAATATTCGGATGAAGGGGAAAAAATCTGGATCTGGATGAGAGTTTTGAGAATCCGAAAAATTCGGATTGGATGCGGATTGGGCTTAAAACCGAACCGAACCGAATACGCCCAGCCCTACTCGTACGTAGTTCAGTCCTGAGGGTGGGCCTGAAATTGGATCTCCCAAAGGGATTGTGGTCAGACCATTGGTCAGGGCCCATTCTATTCTTTCTTTTCCAAGAGGCGGCGTCTTTGGAGGAGCTTGTTTGGAACCAAGTTGAGGCCTGTAAATTTTTAATTGTTGGGTGGATCAAGCTTTAGCCCGTTCTAAATGGGCAAAATTATACTTTGGTACCCGAAAGTTTTGCTCCTTCTTTTAACTTTTGGACCCCAAGTTTATATGTTTGTCAATTGGAACCCCAATATTTTCAGAAAATTGAACGTTCATGCTCATTCAAATCCGGGACTATTTATTTTATATTAAATTCAATACATGCTTAAGACATGATTTGATTTGATATGATCATTATAAACGTTCCTAAAAATGTGAGAAAGTTGCTAGAAACATGCAAAATAATACGTGTGAGTGTAGAGATTAATAGTCTTGACTGCTTTAGGAATATTTATAATGACCGTAAGGAAGTAAAAGACAAATCTAGATTGCGTGTTAAGTAGGGATGGTAAACGATTGAATCGAATCGAATACTAAAGTGTTTGTATTTGTATTTGTTTAAAATCATTGAATTCGAATGCGGGCTCTCATATTCATATATGGAGTTTTTCCGACCGAACTGGAATACTTGGTATTTGATAAATATTCATGTACTCACGAATACTTATCGAATATCAAAGTATATTTATTCTCCAAAAGAATTTGATTTTTAAATAGTATTTTAATTCATAAATAATAATTATTCATTTATACTATGTGATGGATACATATTGAATCAAAATTTTTATTAGAAAAGAGATTTAAGATTATTTAATTCTTAAAATCAATATGTAAAACTTAAGTAGAAACGATAAGAGGGTTAAAATATGACACATCGTATGTGCAATAATACAAATAATAAGTGATCAAATTTTAAATGAATATTTGATAAACAAACGAATAGAATTTAATAAACAAACGAATAGAATATAAATCTGGTTAAATTCTACTCGTTAGTAACATCGAATGCTAAAAAAACATTTGTTTAGTGGTAAGTGAACTATCGAATTGAATATGACTGAATAGTTGCTCGAACAATCATCGACCTATTTGTTAATTATTTGGTTCATGTCCACCCCTAGTGTTAAGTAGTGAGCTGAGTTAACTGAAAAATAAACGTTCCGCAAGTAGCAGAGGACACCAAAATACAATTTTCCGAGATCTCTAGCCGACAAAAACATTCTTTGTGGTAATAAAAGTTCGAATTGTGTTAAATGTTGGGTATCAAATTGCAATTAAGCCATCTCACAAGCGATGATTTGGAATTTCTTGTAATTAATAACTCTTCCCCTCCTTTTTCCAATCTCACATAATTGCCTCCTCTCTCTCGGTGTGATTGCGAAGCGGAAACCGGTGCCACGTGTCCCGAAACCCCAAACTTCCCCCTCTTCCGTTTCCGCCCTTTCTCTTTTCTTTCTATTTGTGTTCATGGCGGAAGACACCTCGGACGCCAGCCCCACTTTTAAATGCGGTTTACTGCCCCACCCTCGCGCACGACAACAAATCCGAGCGAACAACAGAAACGAGAGATTATAAAGTACCCAGGAAAAAATTCACAAAAAAGAAAAATATTGGAAGAGGCGCAAATCGAGAACACATTTTCGGTCCCCTCCCTCAAAACCCTAACCCTAATTTCTCCGCGCCGAATCGATCGATCGATTACTCAGGTCAGTAATCGGATCTTCCTGCTCTCTGATCCCTAATCCGTTGTCATTCTCGTGTCCATTTACGATCCGAGGTGCGTCGATTCGGATTTCGTTTCGTGTTTTCGGTTTTCTTTGGTGTCGGATCGATGGATTTGGCGTTGCGCGATTGTGTCGCGATCTAGTTCGGAGGTCTGGTTACGAAATATAGGTTTTTTTTTGGGGGAGGATTCTTGTTCTTGTTGTTATATTAGCGGAAAGATGGTGTTTTTTTCTAGGATTTTGATGGATCTGTTGGTTATATGGATGATCATAGGGAGGAGGGATCTGGATTTGGATTCTTGAATATTTTGATGTCGGTTGTGTTAAGGTTTGGTATTTGAAATTGGGAAATTTGTGCTACTTTTTCAAACGTTCTCGCAATGGGCTTTAGGGATTGGTTAATGTGCTATGCATTTTTTTGCATTTCAAGAGCTAAGGTTTGTTCTTTGTATATGAGTTCAATGGTGATGGATTTTTCATTGCTGGTTTAATTGCTTATTACTTGTTTTTCTGAATCTCATTGTTAGTGAAGTACAGGTATATGATGAGACAGGATTAATTTATGGCCTCAACAAAATTTATGTTATAGAACCTACTTAGGTGTGCTTATTGATTTGGTAGAATGATCATCTTCTGTCATTCACATTATAGGGTTTATCGAAGGAAATCAGATTTCAATCTGAGTTTTCAAAAGGTTTGATTAATGGAGTTACTAAGCATAAGAGACTGACTGGGGTTCTCCTACTATGAGGGGTTCTTATTTTTTTAGATGCTAGATAAGTGCACAAGGAAAGTTGCTAGACTTAGTTATTGTAGTGAGGATGCTATGTTGTATGGATAGTTCATACTTCCTGTTAGAGAATTGCTAAATTTACAATTTATTTTAAACAAATGGTTAATGCAGGAATGACAAAGTTTAAAGTACAATTTGATTTAGGTGCACTTATATAATCTGTTCATTTTAATGTTAAAAAATGTAATGGATAATGCGTCAAAATGGATATCTTTGGAGAACTATTGATATCTATAATAGAAGTTTGTTTTTTAATATTTTGAGTATGGTGTTTTTATTTAATCCTTTAATGTTTCTAATTCATTATATAGGTTTGTATATCTTGTGGGTTTTAAGATTTGCTATACGTGAGTAGAATTCACACTCATATTCCGTGTCCAGATTGGTGCGACATAGTAGGATGATTCACGACTTAGGCCTACCTTCAGTCCTCCTTGCCTCTATTTATTACTAACTAATGCATTTAGTGTCCTCCATTGCACATTAGCATCCTATCTTAACACAACAAGGGCTTAAAGCCGATCCTTGATGCTAACCTATGATAATATGAATTGGTTTTTCCTCTTTCAATCGTTTCGCCTTAGTTGTTGCTTCATCATGTTAACCAACTTCTACAAGTATCATATCTGCTATCTGCTAGATACTTGTTTCTTTTCTAAAGACTCACCGTTATCTTTCTTGGTGCTTTCATGATATTGTTCTAGATCAATGAAAACTATGTAGATCCTTTTTTTCATTGTCCCTGTACCTCTTCAGGAATCATCTTAATATAATACATAGATTTCACAATTGATCTTCTTGACATAAAATTAAGGGTTATTAGATCAAGGGTAATTAGCATTTAAATACCTTATAGTTGCATGACGTTGCACTTATCTACCCTATCTTTTATTTTCTGACATTTAAATATCCTGTTGTTTTTTAAAGTAGCACATTAGTATGTTAGGTTAATTAACTGGACTATTCCCTAAAGTATTACAATGTAACTTTCACATGTTAAGAATTGGTCAAGTATACCCGTAAAGTTTTCTTAATCAATTAAAATACCTATCTTTCGCTGTTGAAAATATGTTGAGAGATATCTTTATGTGCTAGTCTAGTAGTAAGATGGGTTGTAGAGTGGTATAATTTACAAACTTTAGAGAGGTATAATTTACGAACTTTAGCATGTATAAGTCCCATAGTATATGCTATGATCTTTGTACTTCAAAATTAAATTATAATTTAGACTGTGAGGCTTACGCTTTGCTTCATAAGTGGGTCCAACACTTTGCCTTGTGCTTTCCATTTTAAACATTGATCAAATGATGTGAAGTATGCCAGTATGCCACTAACTTATGATGTAGGATTTATATGTAGGATGAGCGATGATCATATGGCACTTGCTGGCTTGACTTTCAGCAGAAATTCTTATTGGTGGTCATGTGGTTTCAGCTGTTAAGTTAGGTTGCAGAAGTTCTAGTAAGAGTGTGTTTGGGAGTTTACTAGGGAAAGGGAATGGAAGATAAAATAGGAAAAGGGAAGGTAGAGAAGGGGAGGGAAGATATAATATATTGTTTGGGAGTTTAGTGAAGGGAATGAAGGGAAACATGTTTTATCATGTTTGATAAAATATCTTTAATAACTAAGGGAAGGGAAAGGAAAGAAAATGTATCATAATCAAATCACAGATGTTGATCCATAGTGATAAAGGGTCAAATATCTTTAATAACTATTTTCCCTCCCTTTCTCTCCTCTATACCCCAATTTTGGGGAGAACAAACGGTGTGTTTGGATGAGGGGTAGACAAGGATAAGGGAAGGAAAAATAACACTGAACTCTGTTAGCGAGTATTTTTAAGGAAAGTAATGGAGGTTAGGGGAAGTAAAATTTTCATAAAAATTTGTGGTTTTTGTTCCCCTCCAAATTGGGGTCTAGAGGATGAAACTTAAAAGATATAATATTTGTCTCTCTATCACTATGGATCAATAGCTCAGATTTGATTATGAAACCATTTTTTCCGCTTCCCTTCTCTTAAGTTAGAACTTTTAGAAATGATAAACTAAGTTCCCTTCCATTCCCTTTAATAAACTCCCAAACAAGATATTATATTTGTCGTCTCCTACCCTATCTTTCCTTTTTCCATTTTACCTTTCATTTCCTTGACCTACTGAACTCTCAAACATAGTAAAAATGAGTAGATTATTATCTGAAATTTCCCTTCCCTCCCTTCCATTACACCTCTCAAAAAAACTCTTAAACAAAGTGAACTCTTGAATTCTCTTCCTGTCCCCTGTCCTACCTCCATCCAAACACGCCGTAAAATTCACATCTACCATGTGATACAATCTTTGTTAAATCCGGAATAGTAAGTATATAAATTACTAAGGTTCTTATGTATAGAGCGTATAGACAAACACAGATTTTCTTAGGTTGCCAAAATTATGAGAACTCTAGATTTTAGCACATTACTATTAACCCTTTTAAGAAAGTAAGTAACTTGTTATTCTCATCCCTTGTGTTTTCCTTTTAGAAATTGTGGATATTTTTCGTTTATATTTCTAACATGGGAATAAATTTTACCATCCAAATGACCTTGGTCGAAAAGTAAAGTTTCAAATTTAAAGATCATAAGAGATTTGATTATGTTGGCCAATAAATCAACCAATTACGAAAAGTAATAAGATTATAATTAATAGAGTAAAGAGGATTAGAGGTGGGCCTATGTTCTGTAGTTGTTTGCTTAATGGAGGAGATGATCCTTAATAGAATTTGATGGAAGAATAGGATTGGTGTAGCTGACCCTAATAGTTTAGGATAAAGGCTTTGTTGTTGTGTTGCTGTCCATAATTTTTATTGTCATATCCTCTCAGATTTTGGGTAGTTATTCAGCTTATATTAGGTTT